ATCAACTTTCATACCACTTTTGTCCTCAAGATAGGGGTTTCAGGGAAAAGTACAGGAATGTCAGAAGCAGAGTTTCTGTTTTGAAAATCAGCATTTCCCATCTAAAAATGTTTTGCTGGAGATTTCCAAGCCGTTTTAATTCTGAAAAGACCAAAATCAGGAAGGTACGTGAGACACTGAGCTACAGAATTTCATTGTCACTTGAGAATTCTTCAACAGAGATAAACTAAGTTACCCCAAACAGCTGCTCAGAGTGGAACTTCATCTCACTGAAAAAGAAACACTTTATGGAATTAGTTTTCATCCAGAAAGTAGCGCTAAAGAGGTGGGCAGACTTTTCCATATTTTATTGCCTAGTGTCTTGCCCAGAAATTGGTACACACGTAAGGTTCAAACTCGCATTTGCCTGATTCAGAATAATCAGAAATGAATAGGTCTTCACTGAATCAAACAGAGCGGGACTTGAACTTGGAGCTCCCATACCCCAGACTGGTCTCCCCTCACTGGTGGGGATTCAGCGCTCACATCTCTTGCCAAATTGCAACATTTGAACAGAATTCTGTTTATGCAAAAACATTCAAAAAGTGTTAGTTTTCATTCCAGTTTGGAATTGAAACCAAACTTTGAAACCTCAGAATTGCTGCAAAATGGAGTTGTCCTCCAGTCAGCTCAAAGGGCTGCTTTGTGTCTCAGGAGCTTGCAAAATAACTAGATCACAGTCCGGGGTCTGGGCCCATATTTTGTGACTGTGTGTTTCTGGGTGTTTTTAAGACACTGGACAGGCTTGCAATACATCAGTGTCGGTATGTTTAACCTGAGTTCTGCCAGTATCAAATATAGTCTTGCCCTACTGTGTGGCTTTGACTAGCAGTTGAATAGGGAACAACTTTAGTATTCTCACAAGCAGCAAACAGCACTGAAGTAGTTCTGTCAGGACTGGCTGTGCGTTTCTGCTGCCCTGTGCATTAAAGTGCAAGTCCTAATTTTATTGCCATTGTTTTATTTCTTGTTTCCAAAGTTCAGTGACACCAAAGTTCAATCAAAGGCACCCAGTCCAACCTAAAGAATTTGCAGGCAAAGCGCTGTTGTGCTTTGAAGCTTCCTGACTGAACAGGGGCTGTACAGTGTTTCCATTTTCCTTGGCACCTGAGCCCTATTCCCTAAAGGCTTAGGTAGTGTTAAGGGTTGTGCAGATGGCTTGTGCTTAGTTTAAACCGCATACAGGAAGCTTTCTTTTAGCTCAACTTCTCTATTGTTATGCTATATTAATAGGCTCTTTTGAAGCTTAAGAAAGGACTGATCTGCCTAAATAATAGTTCTGGCTGGGGAAAGTTATTTAGGAGCATGTTTGCAAAACCTGAAAGGCTGTTTCATTTAACCATTTCCTTGCCTGCCTGTGCAGCCAGGTTTTGCTCATTCCAGTGCTCAGAAAGAGGAAGCTTTTTTGAAGTTATGGGGTTTGAGTCATAGGTATTTATTTATAAGCAAATGAACATATTTATTCTTAGATTCCTGTAGTCAAGCCAGAAAATGTTGGTTAGCCCTATGCAAACATACAGATATGCTCTGAATTTTGATCCTGCCCTGACTTTCTACACAGATTCAAAAGAGAAGTACCCCAACCTTAGCTTGTGCTGGAAGGGATGATTTTGTTCTGCTCATATCAGCAGTCACAATCAAAGGCGGTTCCAGAAGTGCCTTGCTCGGACCAGCCCCTCAGTGCCACCAGCTCTTCACTGCTGCTGTCCCCTTTAATTCTGCTGGCAGGCAGCTCAGTCCCCTTGTTTTAAGCTCAGGGTTCAGCCTTGTCAGAGCTGGCACCCAGTTCTCCCTGTTGGGTGCTCATTCTTGCACTTCCCAAGCCTTGAGTGGGACTTGTCTAGTGTCTTAAAAACTGAAAATGAGCACACCCTTCGTCCCTGCTGCTTTAGGTGGGGATGTGCAGCTGTATGCTTTTCACCCCCTGCCTCCCTACTTCCTCCAAGGGATGGTGCCAAAGCAGATGTGTCACTTTGCAGCACGGGTGCAGGACGATAGAGCGCTCAGGGGAAGTGGCCAAACTGCTCAGCTTCTGCTTTGATTAAAACATTTTTTTCATTCTTTTTCAAGTGACATTTGCAACATCAACAGTTTCTCCCTTCCACCCAGAAATCCCCCTGCACCACAAGCAGAGCTTTCTCTTGTGCAAAAAGAGGAAGAGCCAAAGGGGCTGTGAAGTCTGCTGGAGACTTCTCAGCTGTAGGCCAAATTAATACAGCCTGCTCTAGGGCATTATAGGAATGATCGGAGACCCTCAGACAGGTAGCCATAACACTCAAGGAGTGGCAGCTTTGGGTGAGTTTCTTCTCAGTTAGAGCTAAACATGCACTGAATACCTCCAGCTGCTTGGACTCATGGGGAGAAATTTGAAGGAGAACTAACACATCTTGGGGTTTTTTCCCCTCATTTAGAAAGACATTTGTATTTCAAATATCTGGGCTACATATTGCAGCTCTGTGGCAAAGAAAAAGGGCTTAAAGGTCCCTAAAGAGGCATGTTTATCTTTGTTAAAAAGTATACCATATGATATAGATGACATATTACTCAGTTCCAAGAGCAGAGTCCAAACTTCAAGAATGCTTTTCTGTGGTCAAGAAAAAAAAAAAACAAAAACAAACCAGAACCCCAAACATTCATCAAAACTATTTTATCTGATTGTTACAGATCATAGTGGCATTCATGCAGTTGTGGCCTGCTTGCAGCCAAAACTCCGAAACAGCCATCCCACAACGTAGTCAGTTCTCCTCCACCAGGGTGTTTCCCAAGTTCTTTATAAAGCAGATTTTCTGAGAGCAAAGAATGCACATGGGAATAAGCAATGCAAATCTTGTTTACTGACAGTGACATTGGACTTTCTAAATATATTCCTCCAGTAAGGGCCATAAAAAAAATGGGGTTTTTTTCCCCTCTTCAACTGCTCTTCAAGCAGAAGGGGTGCCTGTAATCTGTGATGAACTTTTAAGTATTTTTTTTATTTAAAAGTTAAAAAGTCTAAAATTTACTAACATTCTGTTGCCAAGGGAAATCACTTGAGAATAAGCATTTGTGGTTTGCATAGGTATGGAAGAAGGGATTGGCTTAAAAGGGATTGGCTTTTGCATAAATGAAGGAAATACATTCTTTGTAGGTGCTGCTAGTGAATGCCACTGACCTGTGCTAGCCGGGAATGTCAGTGCTAGAAAGGCACTTCCTCTTCCTTGTAACCCTGTGAGAGAGGCTAGGATTGAATTACTTGCTCTACATCTGGTTGATGAACTGTTCAAACAGAGGAAGCACATCCTGGTTCAGGATTCAGGCCTTCTTCCAAATAAAAAAGAATATACTCTTCAGGTGTCCCGTCACCTGCCTTTTGAATAGCTGATGGCTCCTGCTGCTTGCCAGCTAACTGTGTTTCCAATGGGAAAGTGATTATATATGAAATTAGAGGGTCAGAGGTACTGCTTGTTCAAATTGTAAGCTCTTTTCCCCCACCCTTTCAGCATTGCTCACCTTCATTTTGAGAGGCACAAAGAAGGGGAAACAGAGGTTAGTGGCTGATGTAGTTAGTGGCAACTTCCCTTCAGAGCTTATTAAACTTTTCTTTTTCTTATTGACTTATTGGGCCTGATAACACAGAACCTGAGTCAGTGACTTTGCTGTAAGCATCCGTCATTGATTTGGCTGTAAGCATCCGCCAGAGCGTCTTGCTGCCAACACAAGCCGCTTGCTTAACTCCGGTTGCAGCTTCAGTTGTTTTAGTCCATTCAGGTTAGAATCCCAGGGCTTCTTCAATCAATCCCCTCCCTCATGGAAAGATAATATAGTACGTTTGCTCTGACTCGAAGGGAGAAATAGGCTGGGAGAGTACATTTCCATGTGTCCAATCAAATCAGGTCCAGATAAACTCTGACCTTCCTTCTTTAATCTATTTTCAGAATAAAACTGTTCTCTTTTAAACTGTTTACCTTCCCTAAAAAATACGCCAAACTGAACTAGAAAGGTCACATCTAGAGGCGATAGGGCAGCTCTCACCCTAGAATAATGTTCTGCACCATTCCCAGAACATCTCACTATTCTAGAATATGTCTGTATTGTTCTTCTATTCCCTATCCCTATATGTTCCACCTAAGAACATGTTAGTGTGTGGACTGCACCAGCTAAGGAGTTTGGAGTGAACTGTCAGCTGCTTTACAACAGGACAGCCGGCGTACAGCCAGCAAGTGACACACAGAGGATGTTTTCCATTACATAAATCTATGCAAAAAGTACGTGGGGGGTGACAATTCTCAGAAGTGTCATAGATGCCTGATTGTGCCTGCAGGATTCAAACACCTGTGTGCACGCAGGTGTTTGAATTTGTTCTAGCAACACTCTAAAAAAAGAGTTTTGTTTTTCAGATGTGTTTGCAGGCGTACATATTGTGCCTGAATATTAGCCTGCAGTAGTTGTGTGCGGACAGGCTTCCTGAAGATGTCTTTACATGAATCCCACTGAAATATACTGGATCTGGAGTGATCTGGGCAAGTGGGAATTCACATGCTGCATTGTCTATTTATTTATCAATCCAGTTCTTAGGAAAAATAATGTGTTCTAGTAATTACTGGTTAAAGGGGCAGATCTGTCAAGAATACATCGACAGAGTAAATATAGGAGACTTTGGCTATTGTATTCAGGAAAGTGAAGGTTTCATCCATAACGTATTAAGAGCCTGAGAGAAGAACAAAGCTATTAAATTACATTATGTTCTTGCTCATTCAGTTCTGGCTTTTTATAAAATAAGCAGACAGGGAAGTCCTGGTAAGTGGAGGCCTATATACAAAACAACATTTTGAGGTAAGAAAGCAGTGATAATTTTTGTTATTTACTGTTAGTGGAGGTGATCATGTATTGCACTCTGGATAAAAATTATAATTATTGTCAGCCTCCTGTATACATAAAGCTATTATATCATTTAATGTATGCCCTCCTTTCGTTCTTTACAGATGACCCTCATAAGCCAGAGGAGGAAGGTGAAATTTCCAAAGTCACAATCATAAGTCTTGTCCCATTACTGGTGATTTCTGTTGCTGTGATTGTTATCTTTTATGCCTACCGCACTCATAAGAAGAGAAAGCTCAACAAGGCATGGGAGAAGAATGTTAAGCCCAGGAAACATAAGGACTGCAGTGATGTTTGTGCCATTATGTTAGATGATGACCGCTCAGACATCAGCTCTACCTGTGCCAACAACATCAACCACAACACAGAATTGCTGCCCATTGAGTTGGATATTGTTGTTGGCAAAGGAAGGTTTGCTGAAGTGTATAAAGCCAAATTGAAGCAAAACACATCAGAGCAGTATGAAACTGTGGCAGTCAAGATTTTCCCCTATGAAGAATATGCTTCCTGGAAAACTGAGAAAGACATTTTTTCAGATGTAAACCTCAAGCACGAGAACATCCTCCAATTCTTGACAGCAGAGGAGCGTAAGACAGATCTTGGTAAACAGTATTGGTTGATCACTGCCTTCCATGCTAGAGGAAACTTGCAGGAATATCTCACACGGCACATTATCAGCTGGGAGGACCTCTGGAAACTGGGTGGGTCCTTGGCTCGAGGGATTGCCCATCTGCATAGTGATCACACACCCTGTGGTCGCCCCAAAACACCTATCGTGCACAGAGACCTAAAGAGTTCCAACATCCTTGTGAAAAATGACTTAACCTGCTGTCTCTGTGACTTTGGGTTATCCCTGAGACTGGACCCTTCTCTGTCTGTGGATGACTTGGCTAACAGTGGGCAGGTAAGTTAAACGTTTCAAGAGGGGGGCGTGTGTTGTACCAGTTGGTGTGTCGGTTCCTGGGGTGAAAAGAGGAAGAATTCTATGTTGCCATATTTACTTAAAATCTTAAAAAATTAAAGTGGCAGTATTTATAAACAAAGAGGCTCTAAACTTAACATTAAAGCAACAGTGAGAAATGTGCAATGAAGGCTGTGTTATGATCAGAGAGCTGCATATGTATATCATGCAACCATCTTCTTTATACACTTATACTAAGTGTGTATGAGCTTATTAGTGACTGTTTGTGGTGTTGCTGCAATGCACACACACACATATGATAAGGTTGTGCTTCACATTGTGAGGTTGTGCCACAGTTTTCATGCCTGATGGCATTACAGTTTTGTGTGAGTAGACTCCTGGTGTACCCCAGCATATGTGAAGTCAGTCTTCTATCTTTGAGAGGCTTAAGTAGGTAAGTAGAGTGATAGATAATAACTTTAAAAGGCCAAAAATAAACTTGTTTAAGATTATGGCACTTTCTCAAAATACAAGCAAATGCAAGAATCTCAAATAAAAATAATTGCCCTGTTGTTGCTTTTTCAACCAAGTAACATGGATAATACTCATCAGCTTCACAAGGATGCCAGAAGGATGTTTAAAAATGCTTTGAAGATTAAATTTTTCAAGTAAATCTCTAAATATCGGCTCTTCTAATGAAAACTCCCATATAAATTCAGACCATTTGTTAAGTTAATTAATTAATAATTATTTAATTATACATATATTTATACATGTATTTTTATATTTATATTTTCACACATAGGTCCCATCAAAGCCTGGCCATTTACGCTGACTTTTACTTCACATGGAACTAATATTTTGGTTTAGAACACTTCCAGGGACAGTTATTCAGTCAGTAGTGCTCTGTTGAGTTCACGAGAGCTTTGCTGTGTTTATCTAATGAAGACCTGTCTTTGAAAGTCTCCTTAGTGAGAGGCAACTGTCCTGATGAGGCAACTGCAGATGACACCAAGTTGGGCGGCAGT